GGCCTCTCTTCGGCACCCCAGGGTGTGTTCTCTGCTATGCACATCTCCTCCTCGAAAAGCCTTGACACAGGGAGGAGGTAGAGAGTAGAAATGCCAAGGGCGACAGCTCCTTGGGTTGCCACCAGCAGCAAATTCACTCTGAATGACCTATTGTATAAGCTGAACTGTTGTTAATTAATCTCATGTAGCGGGTAGGGGAAATGGCTCTTATTTTTCTGAAGACATCCTATCTTTCTCCAGGTAGTCTCAGTGATTCTGGAACACAGTGAAGTGAACTCAGTTTGGCTTATACCCTCCAAAGCAACTCCTAAATCTCAGGATTTCACTGGCTTGCTGTTAAGGAAAAATTTCCTTTTCATTTCTTGAGCAGAAAGTGGTAGAAAGTGTATGTCTGTAGCTGTGAAGGCAGAGCCTTCAGTACAGGAATGGGGACATGCTGCAGTCCTTGGGCACGTCTCTGTAGGTCAGCCTGCCCCATAGCTTTCAACAAGTTTTTCTGGGAATGCAAGCTTCTTCGTGTTCTCCTCCTGCTGCTGCTGTAGCTGGGAGCTCCGTTGTCCCCTGAACTGAGGGAGCTGCTCTCTGTGTTGCAGGTTTCCATAGCCCCTCGAACAAATGCAGCTCTCGGATTCGCTCAAATCCTTCCGAGAGAGCAGTACCTCTTCACCAAGGAACAGCTGCTGGAGAGGATGTGCATGGCGCTGGGGGGGAGAGTGTCCGAGGCCATCACCTTTAACAAAGTCACTACAGGTGAGGAGCCAGACCCTGGCACTGGCAGGTGGAGGTTGTGCTAAGAGAGCCTGAACTTCTGCCCTTGCTCTGTCCAAGGGTGATCCGAGCAAGAGACAGAGGTTTCCCACCCTGGGAAGGAGAAATGTCCAATTGCATGTTTTGATCTTGGGCTTGCATTTGTGAGGCTGGAGGTCTCTCATTCTTGGTTGCCACTGTGTTGTCTTAGACTTGGCCCCAAGCCGAAGGCCACAGGTGCCAACTACCCGGTGAAACTCTTGGCTTGTGGGAGGGCCTAAAGCTTTCTGTGCTGTGTTTCCAACTGGTTATCCAAATGGGATAACAGCAGGCAGTGGCAAGCAAGCACTCCGCGTGAGCTAGCTACCAGTAGATTCACTCGCTGCCGTGCATGGGTCCTGCAGTACGTACTGTCCATCAGCCTGTGGAGCGTTCACCTCCGTGGACTCCTGTGGGTCCTCTGGTTTCTCACCTAGCGTAATGCATGTTTGGGCAGGATGTGATCCTCCAGCACTCAGCTCAGAGCTGGTAAGCATTGCATCTCTCTCCTGCCCAGGAGCACAGGATGACCTGAAGAAGGTGACCAAGATAGCCTACTCCATGGTGAAGCAGTACGGGATGGTGCCCAAATTGGTCGGCGCCCTTTCAGCCAGGGACTTCAGCAAATGATGGACCACGTAAGGCCTCCCTTGGTTACACGTTCCCGTTTGTTCTTTACTTTCTGCGGTTCAGTAAAAAAAATTGCAAGTAACTCGCACCCAAACAATTCGCATTTTTCTGTTAGCCATGAAGTAGGAAATTTCAACAACTGAGCACTTGCCTGTTCCGTTACAGTGTACTAGGGCTATGCGGTGAGGCATTAAGAACAGGCAAAGTCACAGCAGTGAGTTCAGCCCAGTAGCACTGTGCTGCCTGAGGCTGCAGCGCGTGGCTGTGAAATACGCTGCAATGTGTACAACTGACTGTGAAAGCTGCAGTCCTGGTTCCAGTGTGGACAAGACCCTGGTGAGCTTCTGGGAGACAGGAGGTTCAAATGTGACATTTGGAGAGAGGGAGAAAGGAATAATCTGGGGAGACTGGGGGATCGTTGTGGAGCTGTGGATAGATACCCAGCTAGGAAAAGGTTCTGTTGCCTTAAGTTTCTCCAGGCTCTCAGGAGTTCCATGCCCTAGCCATGCTTAGATTACAAGAAACCTGTTGCACAATTTAAATGTCTCCACTTCCTAGGTCAGAGAGGCTATCTAACCAAAGCGACAGTTCAGACTGACTGAGAAATGTGAGCCTCTTTTGACAGGAAATTGGGCTTCATTGCTGCAAAAAAACCATTGCCTTAGTTGAAAAGTCAAATAGCTGGAAACCAAAAAACTCTGCTTCAGAAGCACTATGGTTGTGCTTCCCGGGGACTTGTGCTGAGCTGCATCTTTTGCTGCTGGACAGCCTCCTTAATTAGACTGCATTTCCCATCAGCTGGGACTGCTGAAGAGTTGTGCTCATGCAGGTGTTTACTGTTCCTTATCATGACTACTCCTTTGGCTTTTTTTCAAACTATTTATCTGTATTTTCTGTTGATGGGAATGACTTTCTGCCTGGCTCAGTTTGCAGATTCCATCCCTCAGTGCTCTCCTTGTTTGTCATGTTTGTTGCCAACTGCTCTCAAAATCTCTGTCCTTCCTACTGTCTTCTAGGAAGCAAAAGTCCTGGTGGCTCAGGCTTACAGGCGCACAGAACAACTCTTATTGGAGAACCGGGACAAGCTGCAAACAGTAAGTTGGAGTTACATGGGGGTTTTATTGTTGGTTTTGGTTTGTTGTTTGTTTAACTGGTGTTTTTTGCCTTGTAGCTCAGCTGTTGCAGTGTCTCTGTGGTCCTAGAAAGTCTTGTAGTGGGAGTGCTGGGGCTTGTGTTGTGAACGAGTGACTGTTTGCTGCATATCCCCCAGATTAGGAGCAGGCACGGGGAGGAACGTGTGCCTTTTTCAGCAGCGAGTAGTCTGCCTCCTGACACCAGCTGGTGTTTGTGGGGTAGAGGAGTAGGAGTGCTCTGTGGCAGTGATCAAAGCTAGAATTCGTGTCCTTCACTTGCATTTCTCTGCTAGCCTCTCGCCAGCGTAAAAGAGGCAGCGTAATTTCCTGGAAAGCAGACAGTGAAAGCCTGTGAAGGTGGGAATAGCTCATCCTTCCAGGTCTTGTAGACGTACAGGACAGTTTCTGGCTTTGTTGAAAGAATATGGGACCTGCCACCTTGGCTGACTGGTGCTGGTTCATGCTTTCTGGTGACTCCAGGCAGTTTTCACCTGCCAGCTCCTTGAAACCTAATACACCAAGGAGTCCTTGTTGCAAGGTAGAGCTTTGCCTCCTCCTCTTTGTGTCCTGGCAGTCCCCTGGCATGTCCCTACCTCTCTGCCAGGAGCTTTGTACCCATTGCTTGGGGCTGAGCCACGCTTGGGTTGCAGCACCCTGTGTATCTACTTGATCTTTCCTTCAGAATTCCGGTCTGTAACTTCCAAAATGACCAGGAGTCAACTTAGTGTTGCATGTTTTGCAAAGAAAACAATCCTTTTCCTGAAATCTTCTTTTTAAACAAACAACCCCTTCAGCTACGCAACGGCTGGCCTCCTGTGCATAGTGAGGTAACCAGAGCTTTCTTGCTCGGACACCCTGCTGTTGGCCTTATCCCAGCCCTTTTCCTGGGACAGTGCCCTGGGAGTCCTCTGAAGACGGGCATGGTTAGGGGGTCTCTTCTCTGCAGGCCTCCTCTGTTCTGCTGCTTTCATTTAACAGTGGTCAGATGTTTCCTAGAGGCTCATCACAGAAAAACTTTTTAAGTTAAGCCAAAGTATCTACAGAGTAAATGTTTCAGTTGCCAGGCCAGTGTGTCGCATCTTGTCAGCAGAATTGAGCCGTCCCGTGTTTGACAGCCACCTGCTGCTCCACCGTGGCCCTTCTGCTGGCAGAGGGGCCGGAGAATTCAGTTCTTCTGGGGAGGGACTTGTGATGACCTTCAGCCCGTGCCCCCAGGAACAGACAGCTCTGTGTTGTCCCTCTGTGTACAGGGGAGGGGTGTGGGTCTGGCTCTGGTCTCATTTGCTCTTACTTTGGCATTTTAGACGGGCAAGGCCCCAGATGCAGTGGCAGGAAGGGGGCTTCTCTGATAGTTCCTGGAGTTCTGACTTGCCAAATCATTCCATAGAGCTTGCTTTATTCCCTCCAGTCATACTACATATTCCTGGCCAAAAGCACTCCTGTGAAAGGTGCCAGCAGCCTGGAGAGCTTTGTACTGGCCCCAGCAGGCTTTCGGGTCACCCCGTCTGTGGTGTGGTAGCCAGGGGTCTGCTCCTCGTGGGCTGCAGCACGTGCTGTGTCCAGATGTTGAGATCTGAGTTGAGCTGACAGGGAGAGTTCAGGTCAGTTCAGGGAGGCTGTTTTCAAACCCCTGCGCCTCATTATGCCTTATTTACTCTTTCTAGCTGTCTAATGCCCTCCTGGAGAAAGAAGTGATAAATTATGATGACATTGAAGCTTTGATTGGGCCTCCACCCTATGGGCCAAAGAAAATGATAGCGCCTCAGAGCTGGCTTCAAGCAGAGAGAGACAAGCAGGACACAAGAGATGAAGAAATGCCCCAGCAGCCACCGAACCACGAGGAGGAGGAAGAACCACACCTGAGACCAGTATGAAGCCCCCTCCTGATATGCAACGGGAGGACTCCAGAGGCTTCTTTTGGACACAGACCCTTTCCCTTTTCAGCTCCAGAATCAAAGATACTGAGCAGGGAATCTCTGTGCCGCTGTTATCCAAAAGTTGAGGGACGGCTACGTTGGCTCTTTTAACGAGCTTTTCCCTGCAGGAAGGAGGACTCCTTAGGATTTTGAAATTGATTCTCAGCAGGCTAGTAGTGATTAGGAGTTGGGTAAGTCTAATCTCCTGGAAAGATTTCTTGTACACAGGAGCGTTGTACATGTTCTTAAGGGTGAAAGATTGTGCGGAGTCCTTGTAAGCCACCTCTCGCTGTGGCGTGGCAGGAGCGCGGGTCAGTGTAGTCAAACCCCTGCAAGACTCCGCGTTGGCTACGGTGCTGTAGCTCTTGTGCGACTCCGCTGTAACCTTTGATCATCTCTGCTGCTGAACATAAAATAGAAACCAAAAAAACCCAGACTCTCCTGGAATAAACTGTCCATAGTGTCTGCTGTGTTTAGAGTATGTTGAGATGCGGGTATGTGTTCTGGTGCATACAGAGCTTTGTTACAGCTATGGAGTTGTACAGGACAAGGGCTTTCTTCTCCCTGGCCAACAACTTACATTCTGTTTTTATAGCAAGCGCCTCGCCTTGAGGAAAACCTGTGTGCAGAACCCAACATCACCCCGCAGTGTGATGCTAGCATTGCAGCGAGTGGCTCAGAGTCACACGTTGGAAGAGTGTTCGGCGGCACTGCTGGTTCAGAGCCGGAGAGGTGCCCTCAGGAACCCGAGCAAAAGCGGCTGTGTCCGTTGGGAAGCCGCAGTAAAAAGCTGGCAGTTCCTCCGGCTCTGTCCTCGTGGCTCTTGCAAAACAACCTGGGATGACACCGGTTGTCTGCCATTCATCAGGGAAAGCATTAAAATGATAGTTGGTGCCTGGCGTGCTCTGGCTGGGTTAATCTTTTAGGAAGGATTATTGTCTTGAGTTACTCCGTGAGGATCGTCTGTGACCTGAAACACCCCAGCCCAAGCCCACTCTCTGACAGCTTTGAACCCTCGGGCCTCGATCGTGGTCCCCAGGCTCCTCTTCAGGCTGGAGTGGAGAGCCCCATTTTCCACAAGGATGTGGGGGGACGATGTTCTGCGGGGCGTCCTCTCCCTGTCCCAGCACAGAGCCACCTGCCTACAGGGAGCCCCAAGCCTTCCCTGGGGTATCGCTCGTTGTCATCCCCGTGGTGGTGGTGATTTCCCTTGGTTTTGGGGGGAGAAATGGTTTTCTAAATTTGCAATGCTACTGTGCCTGTATTTCGTTATTCCAAACCTGTTTGCTTCTTTGCAAGTTCATTCTTTGGATTCAGTTTTCCACCAGCAGGTTGAAATTTCAAGTGTTCTCCCATCTGTTTTTTTTAAAAGTGCCATAGCTGTGTTCTGGGCTGCCTGAATAAACCTTTTGCCAGGAGGATTCAGTTCTGTGGACCCAAGGGTGCTACGCTGGGATGCTGTGGGACAGTGCGGGGTCCTTGGTGGCTTCCGGGGTGCAGCCGGTGTGGCCGTGCCATCTTGCGGCATGCAGAGGCCACGGCTCCAGGCTCGCGCCACTGCAGGATCCTGGCCCTGCCAAGGTGGGTGCTGGTCCCTGACCGCTCTCCGGACACCGGGGAGGGCGGCAGAGCCCTGCTGTGGGGTGTGGGTATGGTGGGGAACAGGCTCCCCCGCAGGAGTCCTCGGGGGCCTGGGGATGGCGTGACCCCCGGCCTGGGCACAGGAGGGGGCACTGCAGCAGCACCTCGCGGAGCTGTAGCGGCTTCTCCTGGCCGGGCCGGCCCTGCGAGGGTGTCCGGCAGCGGGGCCTGGCCCAGGCAGCACGGCCGACCCTGGGTGCGGGCCCGGGGCACCGTCCCCCTCTAGGTGTGCGCGGGCCCTTTAAACTGGCGCCATCTTTACTACGGGCGGGGTGAAGCCGCCGCCAGGCGCTTCCGGCGCCGTCGTCCTCATTGGGCCGTTCCCACGGCGCTGCCCATTGGTCGCTTCCGCCGCACTTCCGGCGTGCTCGGCGCCTCCGCTTCCTTTTCCGGTCGGCCATTTGCCGTGGCGGGAGGTGAGTCTGGGCGCTGCCGTGGCTGGGGGGCTCCATCCGCCGCCATCCGCCTACCGGGGGC